TATTTTATGTGTTATTTTTAATTCTTTTATATAAATAAATATGTCGTTTGTTAAAGTGATATATATTTTAGTACAATCCTGTTAAAAAGAAAAGAACGAATTTACATTTTACTCTAAAAATATGTAAAACGTAAGGTATGTTCTTTTTTCTCTACATATGAATATACTAAACTAAAGTGTTTTTTTAGCTTTTATTATTTATATGTTATTATATAATACACATATTCTAAGAAAGTGTTATTATATAAAGTTTGTATTATATATTATGATTTGTTTAAGTGTGGACTGGAGTATTCTTTTGATAATGTGAATATATTGAGTTACATTAACATACATGTAAGTTGATTTTTCGTAAAATATCATTATATAACACAAATAAGTTAATATGATTAATTAATTTATGTTTTATCGTTCTCAATATATTTAAGACATTATATGAATTAATATTTCCGACAACCCAGATAATATATAATAATGAACAATACTTGTACTCTATAAAATATTTTGAAAAATTTTATCAACAGCCTCAATAAAATAAATATAAATTTTTATTTTCTACACAATTAGTTCACAATCAAGTACTATATACAATGATAGTGTTATAAAGAATCACTATCTAATATTATGTGATAATTGGGAAAATTAAGGAAAATTACATGGTAGATCATAAAAACGCTCTCCGAAAATTTGCTAACCAATTAGAATTTGTAAGTGTACAAATTTTATCATTGTTTTTACATTATAAAAATATTTAATTCATTTTTTTGTGTGTACATTGTTATTATAATTAAAAGAAAAAACTAATAGTAAGTAATAAATATTCAACTCATTTAAAATATAAATATGTATTTTAGATATACCATTACTATAAGTTAAAAATTGAATTACTCTGTGAGAAACATAATGTAAGGCAATATATGTCTCATCATAAATAAATCAAAAAATAGCAGTACAGCATTAAATGGAAATGTTATTAAAACTGTAATTTAACGTGAAAAAATAAATGACAGAGTATATGTGATTTTACTAATTAAGTCATATTATAATGTACATTATATATAGTGATAAAAAATCAATGAAAAAGATACTTCTATGTTAATTTAATAGTATATAGAAACAAACAGAATATTTTAAGAATAATAGACGACAGCTATATTTATAAAATTAACCTCAGAATTAATGCAGTTAAAAATTGTGATATAATAAAATCTGATAATATATATAATTCGATTCTTTAGATTTATTTAAAAATATTATGTCATTTATTTATTTAAATTATATATAAATAATTCTATTATTAAACAAATGTTTTTAATTATAATTTACATAGAATAATTTGTATATATTAGAATATTTTGTATTAAGCAATTAATATTGAGTAGTTTTAGATTTAATTTTTTGTTTCTATATATATAATTTAAAAAACTATACAAATTTACGAAATACAGAACATTTCCCTAATTTTTTAAAATTAGAATATTAATTTAAAAAATTATTAATTATACATAGGAAAATGCGTAATAGAGCGACTAAATTTAATATATATACATCTTATCCTTTCGTTTCTTAATAGTTATATCATGTACGTTAATGCATTAGATATCCGTGAAATAATTTATTAAATAAATAAATATAGAGAATATATTACAAATACTATATAAAGAAACATAATGAATTTTGACTAATAANNATATATATATATATTCTTATACGTAAAAAAAATAAGTTTTTAAGTATATAGTATGTCCATATCTTTCATGAAATATGAGTTATTATTAAAATATGTAACCCAGGAATTTAATTTTTCTTGTGTTTTATATTTATTCTATAAATATGTATTTTAATAT